CAATAATGATCTTGAAAAATGTATGATCTTGTCTATAGAACTTCTCCAAGTCTATGTAGAATGCTTCTCCATCCTCTTCATCATTGCTTGATATCGGTGCGTAAACGACGAAGATATTTAACGCAGGTATTGATTCACATATCCTCAGCGGTAAACGTCCTATCCGGGTTTTTCGAATGAATTGATAATTTTGGCCAAACTCAGGTTAACGAGAACTCCGACGCCGCTCACTCCTCTACAGGCGCATGTTTCGAAGAGTGGTTCTTTTTCGTTGTCATGGACGGCGTTATTTGGGTGGCGTCTTCTGGTCTCATCCAGTCCCATGACGTTTTATCTTATTCTTCTTTCCATGATCTGGTCTTGCATCCAGGCCTCAGACGCAACCGTGCGTGCATTTAAGTACAGATTGCCACCTTATTCCTTCGCGATTTAGGTAGCCTAGAATGGGCCTAAGATTTTAGCAGCCTTTCCATAATTTCCTAAGTAACCATGTCGTGTCGGAAGCTCTTTTGGGGTAATGAATGAAATAAGGTTCTTTTATTTTACTGTGTATAGCGTTCGATGTCCACGTATAGCTTGTCGAACTTTGAAAAAGGGGGCTGGGTGCACTCGCAGGTAGTTTTCCAATCTCACCCAGCGTAGACATGCGAATCTATTTCGTGGAGACAACTTCTAACCGCCTCACATATACTACCCCGTCACTTGATTGCAGGCTTTTGGCCGAAATGACTCATGGAATACAATGCGCATAAACGAGGACACGCCCACGTATGCATGTATGGTACGGCTTCGTAAACAACTTTCTGTGCTAAATAGGTGCGTCGAAAACAGGAATCTAATCCTCTGGATACACCTGCGTCTCGGTGAATCAAAGGTTACTTTCGGTCTGATTAACTTCTTGTCTTCCATCTGGGGACCCGTACCATACTATCGCTACTGTTGGATCCTTCAATGAACGTCATAAAAAAAACTTTATTTGACTCTGTTCATTGATCAACCTCGTTCTGGCTTATCAATGAAAAAGGCATGTTGCTTAGCCATGCCGAGGGTTATGGAAAGGTTGTTTTTGAAATATGTCTTCTTTGCTCTCCTTCAACACCCAAATCTATGCAGCGATTCTAATCGTAATTACGAAAGGTTTTGTGTAACCCAGTTGCAGTCAGTGCCCAGTGGGCATTCCCAGTGTAACCTCATTTTCTTTATTTGCTTCCCTTTTCTGGCAAACAAACTAAGATTTTTGATAATACGCATGGTGTGGTGGTGAACGCGTTACTCCCCGGAAAGGATAATAGCGCGTTCGTTCCCCATCATAGACACCTGCGGTCCAGAGTTTTGCAAATATCTCAGCAACGTTGTGGTTGTATTTCGCTTAGTAACCTGCCATGAAAATTATAGAAGGCAGAAAACAAAAACGTTAAACATTAAGATTTTTGAATTTCGTCCGTTAGGTAAAAAATTGGGTGTGACTCAGGCAAACCAAGGGCCTCAGTGGTGCAGTGGGCAACACGTGAGCCCTAATCGAGGCTTTGAATCTGGCCTGGGGTCCAAGTTTTGCAAACATCTCAACGTTCGCATAATGCCCTGTCCTGAAAAATAATATTGGACAAAAAATGAAAAGTTAACTGGAAAATTCGTTCCTTCGCTCTGCACACACAATTGCACTGCATTCGCTTGACATCTACACCCATAATCGTTATTGGTGGTGAAGGCGTTAGCCCCCGGAAAGGCTAATAGCGCGTTCGTTCCTCCCCGCAAACACCTGCGGTCCGGAGTTTTGCAAATATCTTAGCACCATTGCAGTTGTGTCACATATAATACTCTGCCATGAAAAGCTGTAGTAAGCAGCAAGTAAAAAATTAATATCACAGCCAATATTATTATTATCTGTATAAAAATATTGGTCTAATGATTGTTCTACAGATTTATGGTTGAAGCAGTTCTCAACGCAGATATGTTTACTAGCGCCCGTCATTCAGAATCATGTCAGTAACAAGCGTCATTAATTCAGAGTTCGTTGTACCGTGACGTCTTCGTTTTTAGACAGTAAATAAATTTCAGAGATCAAATGGAACTTTTTAACCACGACCTGATGATGAGGAGAATTGCGTTCGGCTGTTTCACATTCAACGAATTCCTTTCTCTAAAAATGCCACACCTCTACACAAAGAAGTCGCGGGCGATTACAGAACATTCATATTTCTACAAAATCTATTTATATTGTGTCGTTTTCTTGTTCAGCAATCGCGAGGTTTTTAAACAGCATACATTTACTTCCATAAAAACACAATACAATACAACGCTAGCTGACGTTTCGGCAGTATCGCCTTCTTCAGAGCCGCTTTTTTGGGACTTCACATTCATATTCCAATGCCGAAGTCGATCCTGGGATCTATTTATATTGTTCACTTATTTGAAGACCACCACTATTGCGACACTCGGACGATTCAGCGATTTCAAGTGTTCATCGATAGCCGCTCTCCTTCGAATGCTGTTAATCGATCGGATGTCATCTAAAGACGAACTTGTTCCCATTCTTCGCCCACATCTCTTCTTCCCATTCTCCTCTCCAATTCACCCCAACCACGTCGATTTGATCGGCTGAGAATGATTTGCATCTGCCGTTCGTCTTCCACGTTCACTTTTCTCATAGTTGCAATGCGATGACTTTACTCAGATAGCTTTTTATTTGAGAAAAGGTCGGTTTAACACAGCCTATATAAGAAAGTGAGAAAGACATTGTTCTTTCAGCACTACTGTCTATAAATAGAAAAAATATGAATGATTACACGTATGGTTATCGTTGTTAAGGAATTTGTTAATTTTTGAGCTCTCGTATTTCTTTCTTCGGAACCCTTTGGTTTTTGAAGTCCCAATCCATTTGTGCACGTCAGTGCTTCTGAACCGCTAGGTCTATGAAATTAGGTGTAATTCCTCTTCGTTTGTCGTTCTCGTAGGGTTTTTCTTGAGTTCTCTATGAACCTAAAAATATATTCAGATGCAAACCCTCTCCAATGGGTTATTCGCACTACTCTTTGTTGTCATATGGGCCAAGTATGAAGACAGTGAGTTTTCATTTAGTCCACCTATGTTCCGTCTCGTAATAAAAAAAGTGCCGTTGACTTGTGACAAATGTGACATTGTTATGACAAATATTGATGGGCGCGTTTAGCGCAGTACTCGGAGGTGCTTTGCTTTACATACGTGGTCGGTCGTTTGAATCCGCGCTCTGGGCTCACCAGGCCTTCCATCCCTCCAGGCTCTGAAAAATGGTACCAGACCTATCTAGGAGGATACTAATACTCACTTGATACATCGATAGGCCATGCAATTTATTGTATTGGCCAGATATTCCTCTAACAATCACCTCTAACAATGTATAATGAATTGGAATTCGTAGCGCATCTCTCAGGGATTGTCAACTCCTAAAATTTTATCCCCTTTAAGTTTTAATGGTGAATATTGTTTTTTTAGTTACAGTGATGCTATTAAGCAATCCCACAGTGGTTTTATACCTCATTATGCGTCCCGTGGTGCTAAATTGAGGTGTACAACAACGAATTCGTCATGCTTCAAGCAAAATTTCCCATGCTTAGAAGGATTTTGACATTTTCATATGAAAGACAACTAGAAGTGAATCTATAGCGACCTAGCTGTGAGTGCATTTCCATGACACTTTTCTTTTTCAACATGCTGCTAAGCATGCTTACTGTGCAGCCCTGGCAAGCAATGAGGTTAAATACAGACCTTAGTGTCCTTTCAATAACTCGTCTATAAAATGATGAGTGGTGTCACTTCCGATAAACGAAGTCTAGGATAGATCCGTAATTATCAAACAGCCGCAAATAAGCCGTTATTTAACATCATAAAGACGCATGTGAGTAATCCGATCAACTTAGGAGGGGTAGGGTGCTGTTTTCAACACATTCGCGAAGACGCGTAATTTTGCTGTCCGACGACACTTATTTTTCGGTCTTCACGGGTATGTCGGTTTTTAAATGGTAAACAATGATTTTTCGATAACTAGAAGATTTAATGGTTTGTGAACGCAAAGACATCGTAGAAGAGACTTTGCTTTATGCTTTATGAGTATGAATATTTTTCATACTACTATTTCTGGTATTTACTATATGTTACTAAGGTCGAAGGGGCGCGTGTGGCGCAGTGGTTGGAGGCGCCCTGCGACACACACGTGGAATCGATCCCCACGCCCATGGTCCACCTAGCGCCTTCCATTCCTCCTGGATTGGAAAATTGGTACCAGAACTGCCTGGGAGGATAGCAGCACTGGCTCGATACAGTGATAGACCACCGCGAATCATTGTAAATATGCATTCAATCACCTCTAAACGATGCTTAACGAAGTCGAATGCATGGCGCATCCCTCACGGATTGATCAACGCCGAGAGTTTTATCCTCTGTACTAAAATCGGTCATACAAACACATTGCTGCCAGCATTTGGAGGAGTTTTGCAACACATGCTGCGTCTACTTCGGTATTTTTTATAGGTTCCTGCTCCATACGATAACTGCGATTCCTTGTAGGTGTTAAAAGTGAAATAATAGTCAATCGTCTGTCAAGCTACCACTCAGCGATTTCTTTCGAGGGAAGAGTTTTTGCATATTCCTAGGTTCAGAGCTTTTGCTGCTGACGTCCATCACAAGATCTGAGTTACGCAACTTATTGATCCAAAATAAGGCGTCAAGTACAGAATGACCTCTATAGAAACCACACCGGCGAAAATGTGTCATTAAAAATCAAACCTGTAGAGGTTACGTCTTTGAGAATGTAAGAATGCTAATTGAGGCTTCTGTCAAAATAGCGATTTAGAAAGTAATAGATATGAGGTTTTAGTTTTCCGGTTTCTATTTACTTCTTTTTCGTGTTTCTGTTGGTGTACTATATTTATAATGCCAAAAAAGCAAAAGTATTTGGCACTTTTCTCACTATGATAGAGTGGAAACGTCGAAACCTGGAAAGTTCAGAGTACGACCGGTCAAAAATGCCATACGATTTACGTCCTGTTCAACACTACATTGGATTGTGGTCATTGCAGTCCGTCACGGGAAGAGTCAAGTAAGAGTGAACTTTTCGAACAACGAAACTCCACTTATTCAGTGAGCTCGTAACATTTGGTGTGACGAATGCGAATGCATGAAACCATTTCTAGATTTTTTTTTTACATGAATCGTCATCGCATATACTGTGTGGATCCAGCACATCTTACATTCGATTAGTTTTCCTCGCTTTCATTGTCCATAATGTGCTTTGAACACTTCGAGTGTTATTTCGGCTGCAGGTTGAGGAGTTTATATTCGTTATAAATGTCGTAGAATGTTGGCGTAGAATGCTGGTCGAGTCGATTCTCCTTGCGATCTTGGTGATAGCCGGACCAAGACGTTCCCACGCAGAATGGTTAGAGGAAACTGTTAGTGAGGAGATCGAACCAGTACCTTGCTTCCTAATGGACTGCATCACTGACTACTATCGATGTTATCGGCAATTGCTTGTCAACGGGAATGTGGTTGCTAATTTTATTTTTATTCTTTGCTGATAGCATCGATAGAGTGGAAACATGGCTGAGGGAAGGGAGAGCAGGCTCCTCGGTTGCTGTGGCGGATAGATAGCACATGAACCACTCCAGGGGTTATTGCGGGTTGGAGGCCCTAGTGTTGAAGTTGTTATAAACTCATATTTAACACCAAGGAATATTGGTCAGTATCGGCTCCACTGGTACTAACCACGCTTTATCTAATGAGAATAACTCGTTCGTGTACTTCACAGTTTACATAATTCAGGCAAGTACTTGTTAAGGCTGCAATCGTACACTTTCGATTAAACCACATTATGAAGTGTGACCATAACGAAGAATTCTTTAATTACCACATCAAGAAGAAGAGAATACCGTGTGAGCGAGGTGGAGTGACGTAGGCGAGAACGTTCGTTGACGTGCGGCTGCTGGTTTCCACCGCTAAGGCTTATCGCCAAACGCAAGACCGAGCGCAAGCTGACGCAATGTTATCGCCTCGTCGGTAGAAGAAACCACACGGTTTCCAGTTTCGATACCAAGATTGCATAAACTATGTCAACGAAAGAGTCCGTAAATCATCAGGCGAGAAAGTTTTGATTTTTCGACTTTTTTTTCTACTAAATAATCCGTTTTTACTCGATGCTGTCGACGATATAAAACACTTGTTGCATTTTTTAAAAAAATTTTCATCACATTATTTCAAGATTTCCTTTGCGTCTAATCCCATTATGCGGTTATGTGACTTCTACTGGAGTCATAAAAGGATTGTAAACGATAAAGCATTCGCCGTTGATCAATATCCGAGGGATGCGCCATGCATTCAGCTTCATTGAGCATCGTTGGAAGTGAATGAATGCATGTCTGGTCTTTACAATGACTCGTGGTGCCCTACCGATATATTGAGCCAGTGCTGTTATCCTCTCAGACAAGTTTGGTACCAATTTCCTCACTCCGGAGGGACGGTGAACCAGGGAAGCGGTGATCGATCCCACGTGTATTACAGGAAGCTTCTGATCACTGTGCGATACGCGTCCGTGCTGGTGTCATACGGTGAAAATGGTGCCATTTTCAAATGTCGACGAACACATGTCAACTCACGGTGATTTCTATTGGTTGCGATAAGAGCTTTTTGAATCTTGAAATCTTTGCCTAAAGAGGAGGGACTTATCCTTTCACTTCGATGGAATCTTGACTTTCTGGAGTCCATGGTATATATTTATCCTACTTTTTTTTCCCTTCAAGACATATTTCGAACATAGAAAACAGATGGTTTTTGAAAATTTCGCCTATAAACATATTCAAAGTTGGAAGGACATTGTCCAAAAATTATAGACTTGATTAGCGCAGAATAGCAGTGTGTTTTATGAATCTATGAAGTTCTGAACTCCTTAAATACTTTATTGATCGAGAAGTTATCGTCAGTTGTCGATAAAACAGCTTCGTCGCGAACGGGTTAAACATGTTGGTCGAACAGTGCATCCGTGGAGAAACGAAAGTTTTAATGTAATATATTCGTTGCGACAGCGAAGACGCTGTATTTAATTAAAAACAATGCAAAGTACTACTGGAACAGAAAATTCTGAAACCTGAGCGAATCAACCATGACTATTCCGGTTCCATAGTGATAGCATAAAAAGGGAAGCCCATCATTTCTAGGAAACGAAGTCAATCAAAACTCTAAAACGAATAGAGTCGACTTGATTAGCATCGACTTCCGATGATAAAGGCATTTGATACGATCAGTGTTTAGATCACCTCTAGACTGCGTGATGTTTTTTATGTTTAAGCGCAATTGTATTTACAAGTGCTGATAAGGAAAGCATTTGGCAAAACCGTAGCTTTATTGTATTGATTTCTTGCGTGATACTCATTATAGGTGGTTAGGTATTCTTGTTGCGTGGAGGGTGCGGAACTTTTTTGTGGGTAACAACATATACTTTGTTTTAGAGAGAAAATGCGCAATTTTTTAGGGATCTCCCACCTCCTGACCAAATCGACTTCTCCATCAATCCGGTTCCCAAATTTGGAGCACGAGCTCTCAATATCACGTAAGTGGACTTGAGAAATCGAATTTTATGTTGTAGTGATCAAATGCGATCTTTCGAGGCGACCCTCAAGTACCTATTGTAGTCGGCGCATATTGCGACTGTCGTGAAACATGAAGAACGTTAACACTGCGCACCTGGTCTAGCCGGAAAAGGCGATGTGACTAATACACCTCACCAAATTGAACAAAAACCTGATCGCTTTCTTAATTACTCAAAACTCTTCATCACACGTGAACAACACACGGGTGATCCCACTAGCAACAACACGCAACCGAGGAGGGGGAAATCGCCAAAAAGTCAGCCACCGAACCACAGCAACAACAACAATGACGACTTGGAACAACCTTGCATCAGCTCAACAAGGGTAGTTCGTGAGAGCACATATGGATATACTGATCACTTCCATTGTACCATGATCTGTTCAATGCAGAATTTTTGTTCTTCTGAGCTATGTTAACAGAACGTCTTTGTTTCGTGTGACAATCCCAACAACGGAAATCCAGGTCGAGGAATAATTACTTTGTCTAGTCATATGGACGGTGTCTCTCATATCATTTTCATATCCCAGATGGTCTTAACTCTCGAATCAGCTGAACGTGATGGTTTTTTAGTGCCTACCTATTGACCTTTACGCTATTGCTTAACACAACGCCGTGTCCGTGACACTTGCCGCTGGGGTGGCGTATTACGCGAACCTGTAGACCGGTACCGCGAACCGGTTTGTCATCATAGAGGGACAGTTAAATGTTCGGATGTCTACGTCGCCATAGTTTCTGACATTGAAGCATTGTTCGCTAGCGACACGATACACATACTGAGTTTGGGAAAAGACGTGTTTCTCTCAACGACCATCTGAAGCAATAAAGTTTCCCAACAGAGGAAGGCAAACTCATCACCTATTTTACGTCAGATTTTCTGTTCGCCGAACTCACACCCACTTTATTTCATCCAGTTTGAAAACGCAACAAATTAATGAAAATTTTCGAGGGATATCATTACCAATACTGCTTTCATTCGAAGATGTCTATCATCGTCTCATGATAATTTGATATATTTTTAAATTGTTATTCAGATGAAAATTTTAGGCACACATACTACAGGAATGAACAGGTAATTCGACATGACTACGGCTACATGCCAGTTAAAAACGCTACAAGAAGAGATCCACGAATTCATGTCGCGTATCTGACAACCTCCAGCGAAGGTAGGATACATTGATTTTGCTGGACTGCATCTGAAAGGCATAAAACTTTTATAGATCACGACTTAAGTGGTCCACTTAATTATCTGGAGCCTCCGCAATAAAAACTACTAAGTAGTTTGTCAGACCAATTTAACACTTGTTACACACATACTCACACGCCAACACATGCTTTGATGTTCGAAAACTGACGTTTCAGTGACTTCGTCTTCTCCAGAGTCTGGACGTACTTTATTCAATTTTGTTTATACAATGTTTTAACTTATATTTACTACCTGTTCTCTTTCCACGGCAGGTTACCATGTGAAGTACAATGACAAGAAAAGTGAGATATGAACAAAAATTAGAACCTCAATTGAACTTCGAACCCGTGATTACCAATACCGTGGACTCACCCACTATCCACCATGTCTGGAGGCGCTTGTTTTTCTTTTCTCCCAGTCGTTTCAACCCTATCAATGCTATCAGCAATCACTCGCCAACGAGTGAACAAGAAGAATAGGTAGTAAGCAAAAGTCGTTGTGACTTTGAATGCAGCTTCAAGTTAACTGGAATTAACGCCGATTTGTGCTTCCTGGATAATTGCCGTTGACGAGTGCTTGGGTTACTGATAACACCGATAGAGTTAAACCACGGCTGAGAGAAAGGCAAAGTAAGTACCTTGGTTGATGTGGCGAATAGACTTGACCCCTAGGAAAGGGCAATCGCAGGTTTGAAGCCTAACTGCGGTTCTGAGTTTTTCTTCACTGCATGCCTTACGTGAGATTAAGTATGGTGTACCTGAACTCGTACAATCTCCGTCTCTGCCGTTAGGTCAGAGCGCACACTTTTTTGCAGTCCATGGATGATGGTAGAGACGGTAGAGCAACTGACGGTCCTAGAGCCTAAGATGGAAGTTCAGTAACTACTACAGAGTTGTCTAGTGATTGTGAGGCAATTCTTTATGTTCGTGAAATTTATGAACTTCATAAGATTGAAAGTAAGTCTGCAAATAAGCGAAAATAAACGAACCAGGTTATTTTTGCAATGTTTTCTTCCTTTTTAAACCAATCAATAAACCAAATATTTCCAGGTAGATTATGGCTTCCACTTTCTCCCTTAATGATATAAAAATTGACACGTCACAAAGAAGTGTAATATTTCTAAACAGTTTTATTGTGATTCGTGGAGTATGTCAACGGCACATTCCAGGAATGACGTTCATGCAAATTTTGTCTAGGAAATAATTGAATCAATGAGTAGCTGTTTTAGGCTGGTCGATGATGGAGCAGGGTCAAGTGAAAGGACCACAGATGACATTCCACCTAAAACAATACCTAAGAAGGAGCTTTGACGTTGGTAACCGAAACGATCTTGAAATTCGCGAGGTTCGTGCTCCAACTTCTTCAGAACAGCTGTTTTTTCACGCTGAAAATAACGTTCTCTTCAGTTCGAACGACAGTTTGAAATGCCGTCCAACACACAGATGATAATGAAAGTGAGGGCCGAGACCAACACAGACATAGAGAACTACACAGCCTTATATAAGAGAATACTGGGATGAAGAATGCAGCATGGCCATGACTCTTGCTTATGTTCTCAATTCTTTCTCTCAATAAACAATGTGTTTAGAAGCTTCTATTTCAGTCAATCTTATCGTAGACAAGAAATCGTCAGTTAGGTGACATATTTATTCATACGTTCTCATTAATGATCTTGCTGAGCTGATGCGAAGTTGGTATAGTTGGCGTTGCTGTTATTGTTGTCGATGTTGTTGTTATTGTTGCTGTTGGTCGATGGTTGGCGTTTCGGCAATTCCGCCTTCCTCAGAGCCGTGCTGTTACGAGTGGGACTCAGTCGATTATTTATACCGAAGTTTACAGAAAGTCAGTCTTTTCAGTTATTAAGTTAGGCGATATTTGACATTGTAGAAAAAAGGTTGTCCACAGCAGAAAAATTTAGCATTACCGTCATAGTGGCTTCTAAATAGATTTCTCATATTGCGTGATCATCTCTTTGTTCGATCACGTGCCCCGTGTTCACCATTTGTTCCATCTTTCCGTGGCCATCAGATTGGTCCTGGAATTATCTGAAAGGATAACAGCACTGATGTGGTATATCCGTAGGCCACTGGAAGTCACTGTATGGGCCAAATATGCGTTCAACCATCCCTTACTATGTTTGATGAAGTGGAATGCGTAACAGCAGTAATACGCGAACCCCGGAAAACTTAATTGGGGGTTCGAAGCGCACCTGTGGTTCTGGGTTTCCTTAATACCTCTGCATCTTTGTGGTTGTATTTCACATAATACCCGGAAATAAAAAAGAATATATTTTAAACAAAACTTAAAGCAAGAAATGATTGCCGCAAAATGGTTTTATAGATTTCATGGTGAGAAGATCAGGCCTTTGCATCAGTCATATATGTTTTCCTACTGGACTGGAACGGTAGAGGCACGAGCATATGTGCGTGACGACTACATTCATCTTGAAAAGGTCTTCTATTAACATCCACAACCAGCCTTCAAAACATTATTGTAACTCAAGGGGTTCTGAGAGCTGTGCCACAAGTATTGCGCTAACCATTATGCCAACAATGCTATTGTTTTTGCTCTATCATTACCTAAATTTTTTTCTACACTTAACAGTTGTTGTTCTTTTCCTTTTGCCATCATGTCTTTTCTATGTCACCTTGGAAACGTATCAAAGACGAAGTGGCTTTGGTGGTTTTGAAGATTAGAAGGTAACATCAGAAGCCTGAATAGACAACACCACCTAACCTCACGATTTACTAAAACGCTGTTCATCCTACTACAAAAAATCCGTTATTCTCACCAAATCCTAACTAGCAAAAAGCTGTTTCCACTGAGGCTCCAGTGGCGCATCAAATATTTGACTACAGCGGGTTGCCTATCATAGCCCATGTATCATTCTTCATAAACAGTTATTTACTTTCTTGGACACGCTGATGGCCTATCCTCGCATCTTTATTCGATATATACATGTGAAATGAGTTTGTATATCACAAAAATAAAAACCTCTGTCTTCACACTGAGAAAACACGACAACCTATCCGTGAATGTAGTGAATCCATTCAGTCTTGAAGAACCCGTTAGTATAGTCCTCCAAACATAGCAAAAATGACGGGCCTTATTCCTTAAGCAGTGAAAGAGCCTCAAACCTCAATACCAATATCCAATCTAAATGAACGTCTAGTGAACATTTCATCGGAAGCGCTGTGCTGATTTTCTCTTTAAGAACCGGACCTGAATTGAACTGAAGTTAACTCGTAATTTCAAAAGCTCCCTCTTGGTGCTGGACGTGCGACTCAGTTGAGAATACCATTTCAAAATGGCCCATATTGTAGTAAATAAAAAATATTGCATTACTAACGTTACTATTATCTCAAAGTTATGCACAGGATTGGATGGTCACTTCGTTTGCGCAAGATTCTTTTTTTCGCAGAAAGAAGATGAAGCAACAAAATAAACCTTAAGTTGCGATCTACGGCAAGTTTTTAGGAAGATGTCGTATTCAACAACATCTACGAGCTGCATGACAAACTTAGTAATCATTTTAAAGTACTGTTCACAGTTCGGAGTGTTTAAAAGTCGTCAATATACACTTTTCTGCACAGGCTTTCAAGATAATACACCCACGTGGAATCCACTAGTGGCAGGTCCTCACTTTCCTACGAGTGCGCTGTAGAGAAGCTAAAATTTTACCTCTTAGAAAGAAGAAATGCAAAAAGCAGTGGGGAAAAAGGGAAATGCAGTGTTGACTGAAAATTCGGCCATTGGAAAGAATCTATGGGTAGATAACCAGTCGCAACATAGGAAGTAGATGATAGCCATCCACCACCTAAACAGAATGATCACTACTTTAAGAAGGCAAACAGTAGGGGTTATCAACAGCTCCAACTCCGATCTCCTTGACAGAAGCATCCATTCGCCTCAATGTTAGGAATGCAGGAGATATTGTGTGAACGGCTTTCCTTTCTGAGGTTCGAAATGACACGTCGTTGGTAGGCACCGTGGCACCGACACGTTCTCTATAGGATTACATCTGGAGAACCTATGTACGAAAGAACAAATGCTTGCACTACATGGGAAACTATCGCTGAATCGGCTTGAGCTGTTTTCTGGACCCTTTAGACAAGTTATCAATAAAATTTTCAAAATATTGGGTAGTGGAACATCTTGGACAACCTTCGATAATTTTTCAGTCGTTAGAGTACTTGGAGAGATAAGAAGGCTATAAAGTAGACTGTGTTCTATCGCCTTAACTGTATAACCACGATTTTTACAAGTAAATTTAGTATTTAAAAATATAAAGCCTCTACATAGTTTATTTGAACTTCAAATACTTCTCAATTTAAAATTTTCAAATGATTTAAGAGAAGATTTTGAATTTCAAAGTTTTCAACACTGTTGGGCGCCAGAAAGTCAGAATTTCATCTGGGTGTAATAGGACAAACGTGTTTTGTGGGCTAAGACTTGTATATTCCAACAGTATTCACTCCAACCAATTGCTTTTATTACAAGCACAGCTATATTATGTCGACTAAAGATTAGAGTGGTCATTACTTCCTAATGAAAAGCATCGTACTTCATGCATCTCGGGTCTTAGGTTTTGTGAGCAGCCCATTCCATTCAGTACTTTAGCACTCTAATGACCTACAGAAAAGCTCAGAACCCAATTTTCAGTCATACCGTAAAGTTTATAGGCACCTAACTTCTCAGTACTTTATTTTTTAAAATGTGTGATCACCCAGATAGAGTCTACGTAGCATCAGGAATGTGCTTGTTGAGGTCAAAAATTATCTGAGCTCAGCTATAACTACATGAAGTTTTCTCTCAATTTCATCGATTGATAGCACAATTTGGTTCATTTACGACTTAAACAGCTTCCAACAAGGAGGCAGTTCACAAGTTCGTGTGCTTTATGTTGCTTCACAACTAGAATCTAGCCATTTAACAACATGAATGATGAGTTCCGAAGAGGCGATTTCGCCACTCTTATTCAGCCACATTCCCAAGAACTTTGTGCAAAGACTGGAGTAAGTTAACAGGGCTGTAAAGGCCGATTGCCATAATCTACTCCGCCTTTATTTTGATGTCGTTATAGTCTGTATAACATTAAGAATTAGCTATGCTGAACGAATGTCGGCTTCGAGTTCATAGGCAGTATAGGGGATGACTGAGGACTGTTTTTGTCTTCACTCGAGTCATTCGATGATCAACGCAACACAGATGGTAGGCATTCATACGACATAAAGGGGTCCGATAAGTGTTTGCTTTATGAATGTTGCCGCAATGATGATTAAAATATATAACAACTGTATGAACAGCGAAAGTGACAGATGCTTTAATGCATCGATGGAGAGGATGACGTGGTGAGTCGTAAGTCGAGCGGTAGGCCACAAAATACGCAAAATAAGTAAGAGCAAACCCGAGTTTTATGGCATGAAGTTGAGAGCATTCATATAACATGGGCGAGCCAGTGGGTTCACAATCATAAGACAGAAATCTTCCAGAGCGATCTGTAACAAATCCAAGAAAACCTCGAGAAAAATAGCATTGTATTATGGACAAGAAAACGGAAGAATTATCGGCTTTGAAGAAGACGATACTGCCTTAAGAGTCAGCGACCGTTGTGTTTTATGTGTTCATTTTGTACCGAAGTAAACGTGTGCTGTATAACGACCTCACGATTGGTGAAAAAGAAAACAACACAGAATATCATATATAGCAGCATCCACAATATGGGCTTACTAGTCTATATCGGAACCACAAAGAAAGGCTTTAGTTCTTGAATGTGCACATTAGACCTTTTTCGAGAGTTTCGCAGGGAAAGCGCTTATTTCATTTTTAACAAGAGCAACAGTAAAAAGGCTACACGTAAGCGTACACTTCTTTTATCGCGTCACTTCTAGCTGTTCACGTGTAACGAAAGCATTTGCAAGCAAAACGTTTCGAACAACTGCGGATTTGTGTAGAGGACGAGGAAAAAGGAGGTATTCTGTGATAGTTTTGTCTTGCTAAATAACTATCTTTACTTTGCAGGAGATCATTTCAAAGGTTATGATGCGAAATTTTCGTCCTGAGGATCACCTATGAGAAAATCTAGGTAAGGTGTGAGCACTCCGAACTAACGACCACTTCTACCTGCTCGCTGCTGGGCTCATTGAGAATCCTCTAACACTCGAACGAGACTGATGGAATTTATTGGTGTGCCCGAGTAACTCAATAATTAATGGGATTACAGATTGTACAGTTGATGAGGGTCAGATTTATTCCCAGACCAACACAAATAAACAGAAGCACTTTAGACGGAATTTGTTCTCAGTGAGATTGTCATATCACCACATTGCGATTTGCTTTAATACACAATATAACCTGGAGAATATAGACATAACATAATTTCTCAAGGTGAAAACTAGGGGGACCATATCTATGTACTCTAGTACGAAAGCAAAAAGTTTAAGAGATCTAAATTCTGGAGGATTTTTATAGTGAGGGTATTTCCAAACTGAGCCAAAATATTGAGTGTTCCTGTTGTACC